GGGCCAATAATATTGCTGTAGAGTAGTCTATCAGCTCTGATTATATTTATTTACATGTTCAATACACACCCTTGAAACTTTCACACCCCTACCTTTCCACTTGACATTTTGCCAATAGTCAAAGGCATTTGTTACTTGGGTATACCATGCCAGTATAACTTGTTCTTTTCAACTCTTAGTTTATGTATTAAGCATTTTGAGGTAATTGTTACTGAGAGCGATGCACCATCCGGAGACCAATTCTCATATCACCTAACATAACCTTTCCAACCTTCTACTTATTGCCTAAGCAGTGGTACAAGCCCTGTGTACCCCCCATTTATTAGCACTTCATGCCAACCTACAGAGAATGGACATTAATAATTCTGGCTGTGGGAGGGTGTTGTGGAGTTGGTGTCTGAGTGATGATGTGTAACATACATTTTTGTCTTTTGTCTGGTATGTATGAGACTGTTGCTGCTTATACTATGTTGTTTCTTATTCGGTTAAGGTATACGAAAGGACCGCACCGACCAGGAGAAAAATGAAGATCATAGCCTTGTATTCAGTGAAAAAACTATATTCATTGCTATCAAAATTGGTGTGCAGATGCCAACCTATTCCAATGTGGCATGCAGAATGCCACATTGGAATAGGGCGTTCCAGGGTGCAATTAAAAATTATAGTCTAATTTATTTAAAGAAATTATCAATATCTTTAAGTATCTATAAGGTCAACAAAAGTTATATTAGCAAAAACGGGGAGTAAGACCTTGTGCTCTATGTTACTCAAATGAGAAGTATTACACACAGTATTATTCAAGGAAAGGCATGTGCGGTCTGTTACGGTGGTGCTTTTTGTCTGGTTGGGCACTCTCTGGGTTTTCAAAGGTTTTCAAAGTCAACAAAGGTTATATTAAAGATTTTACATAAAACATTTAGAGGTAATTACCAGAAAATTTATATTTTATAACCAAAAACAAAACAAGAAATGGCTAATTTGAAATTGAGGATCTACTTTCACATCAACGGCCTGTCAGACTAGCATTAATAATATTGAATCTGCAAGTCAGTTTCTGTTCTTCTATTATCAAAAAGTATGCGCCATGAAACACAAAAGTACAGCAAAAATGGGGAATAAGTACCTGGGATCCATGTTGCTCAAACAGGAAGTAATATGTGCGGTGTTACTCAAGGGAGAGGCATGTGTGGTCTGTACGGCAAGTCAAGTCCTAAACGAAGACAAGGCCAGTTGAAGCTTGCCTTTGTTCACAATGGTGCCCAGCCATAACAGTAACCCCCAGGTGACAGTATCTGAACAGTTGGGCCTACCAGAGTCTGTATTGGTGAATGACTTCTCAAACGTACACATATGCTCACATACACGCATGCTCACACACACATACATGCACGCATGCAGGCACACATGCAGGCACACATGCAGGCACACATGCAGGCACACATGCACAGAGACACACAGATGCACAGACATACCCCCCCCCACACACACACACACATGCAAAATTACATTTATAACATATATTTTACTTAGGCTCCTAAAACGACTATATTACACACTGTGCTACCTACAGATGTATGTATTCTTCTTTATTTTTCTCAAACATTTAATAAGAGTCAATGAGAGCGTGTTGAATGTTATTTTCACAATTCCATCTCTTTCAGACATAATTCAAGATGGATCGGTCATTGATGAAGGACAGAGATGCCTTCCTGAAGCGGGCTATGGCCACGCCTTCGTAAGTAGCATTGTTTACTTCAAGAAAGATTTGGTATCAAATTGGTTTCGGTACAAGTTTCAGTGTCATAGACTAATATTTCATACTTGTTTTATTATTAGTGACAGATGTTGTTTCTTGTAAATTAAGATAGGTATATGTGACAACTTCATACTATTTGAAAATAAATAGATAAATAATTGAATGATACATTAACTTCAATTCATTATTTTCTAAATGAATTTAAATTATTTTTGCAAGTTTATTGTCTTTTGTAACTTTAGTAGTAGTATTAGTTTTTCATGTAAATTGAGCTCTATATTGCAGCTGCATAACCAGTTTGCAAAACTTGATGCTCAAAATACCTAGGAATAATATTCATACAGCGATAATCATTTTCTGCTCCAGAGTGGAAGTCAAGAAGCGCAAAAATGATATCCCTATACCAGAGCCGCCCAAGAAGAAGATTACCAAGACGGTGCCCTCCAGTGACCCTGGCTCGTAAGATTTTTTATTTTATTTATTTATTATTTTTTTTTTTTTTTCACATATATTTTCTTTCTGTTATGATGATGTTATTTGTACAGAGTAATTTCTAGGTCCATATTAATTTAAATGAATCAAATCTGAAGTCAAAATCTCTTGCCTTATTTCATTTTCATCATGGAAACGGTTTCTCTCCCTTTGGCAGATACAAATCGATGACAGGTGGCAGCCAGTACAAGTTTGGTGTCTTGACAAGGATTGTGCGCCACATGAAAACGCGTCACCAAGATGGGGAGACTCACCCGCTCAGTCTCGATGAAATTCTTGATGAGACAAACCAGCTAAATGCTGGGCCAAAGGTCAAGCAGGTAGGAATGTACCTGTTTGTGGTTGTAATGGGGTCTTTGTAATTTTCAAGGTTGTTTTCATCATATGTAATTTTATTTACGTGTTTTTTATCTGTTGGTGTGGTTACTATTATTATTTTATTATTGTTTATTATTATTATTTATTATTATATTATTATTATTATTATTATTATTATTATTATTATTATTATTACTATTATCATTATTGTTATTATTAATACTGTTATTATTATTACTAATATTATTATCATCATCATCAATTTGATAATTCTTCTTCTTTTGATTATTTTCTTTTCTTTTAGGTTTTTTTTTTTTTTTCAGAATGTAATATTTTAACTTTTCTCATAGTAATGGATAAGATTTTGATTTAGTAACCATCTTTATTTATGATTTTACTTAATGTAATGTAAGTTTAGTAAAGTGAATTATGAACTGTGATCATGTATATCCTATAATCCCATCCATAAAATCTGGTACAGATAGATTTCTTTTTTAACATCCACATAATTGATTTGCAAATGATAGTCCCATAAAAAATCATTTAGGGAAATCATTAAAAAATCTTTGAAACTGGACTCTATACTGATGAAAACCTCTCTCACTTCTAATCTAACCCAACTCCAGTGGCTCATCACTGAAGCCTTGCCCAACAACCCCAAGATCCAAGAGATCGATGGCAAGTATCTCTTCAAGCCGCCTTTGCCAGTGAGGGACCGGAAGAGCATGCTGAAACTTTTGCGGCAACATGACATGAAGGGGCATGGGGGGGTGCTGCTGGACGATATACAGGAATCCCTGCCACACTGCGACAAGACCATGAAGGTGAGGCCTGCGGATGAGGGCCTTTTCCATATGGAAAAAGGCATAGATACACATTGATCTGAATAGAAAGTAGAGTTTGCTCCTCAGCGTAAAGCAGATTCTCAGTTGTGAAGTAGAAATCAACTTATTTTTGTAATTCTGAGAAACCAGTACAAATGCCAATTTTCAACCCTACATTACCCCAAATTCCCATACTGTCCCCATTCCACCTCCAAACCACCAATTCCTCTCCCATACTTTCCACTCTCTTACCATTATCATCATCATCTTCAGATGCTGGACTCAGAGATTCTGCGAATCACACGCCAAACAGACAAGAAACAGATTATCTTCTACCATGACAAGGGCATTAACTTCCCTGTGGAGAAGGAGTTCCAGCAACTATGGAGGAACACATCTGTTGATGGCTTGCAGGATGACAACATTGAGGAGTATCTTAACAAACAGGTTTGTTGTTGTAAAAGGTACTTTTTTATTGTTTGTATCAATGTTATCATCACTTTTGCTCCTCTTGCTTGTGTTATTTTTATTGTTTATTTTGTTAGGCTTTAGGATGGCGAGTGAGGATTAGTGCAGCAAATTTTTGTTGTTGTTGGTGATATTGCCTTTAAGGACATTTTACCAATAATTGAGGAAAAAATAGATAGGTATACAGGTGGGTAATGTTTAATGTTTGTGAAAATAAATGTGCTAGACATCTGAGGTCATATAGCACTATGGTAAAGTATTGTGTCGGAAAGGGCAAAGGAGAGTTAAAGATTATGATAAGATATTTTAGATGTCAAAGGTTTAAGAACATTATAGGTGGGTAAGTAAACAGATTAATATGTAAAGCAGTTAATGGATGTGCATAAAGATGGAGAGAATACATCAGTATATTAGCATTAATATCTAGTCATTTAGTTAGTATGTGTGTATAAGCTTGTAAGAGTATGAAGGAGAGAGAAAGAGAGGGAGTGAATAGGGAGTGAGAGAGTAAGTCATGGAGCAGAAGGGAAGAAGAAAGGAAGGTATATATTTCTAGCTGATAAGTGCAGAAAGTAGCGAAGGTTTAAGTGTAGGAGAAAAGGAAAGAAGTATTACCTGTTTCATTAATTTTGTAACGTTCTGTATTAATACTGCCAATACCTTCTTGAATTATTATATATATTTAAAGTTCCACTTTTCTTTCATTCATTGTTTCTTCCTCAGGGCATCAAGTCAATGCAGGACACAGGGCCAAAGATCAAGCCCATCCGGAGAAAGGTCAAAAAGGGCAGACAAAGAGCCACCAAGATCTCAGACAACGAGCACATGCAGGGTGTCCTTCAGATATATGACGATGTGTGATAAACAAGGAAATTTTAGGCCACTGGAAATGCTGAGGTCCCTTTTTTTCATCATCATTATCATTATTATTGTTGAAAATCTAGGTTTCAAGTTAAAAGTTCGGAATGTATTTAATTTTTTCATTTTTTGTTTTGTTTTGTTTTTGTTTGTGCTTATGGGTCATTGTTTTATATACTGTTATAATTCTTTTTTTCTATGATCACTGATTTTACTCAAACAGTTCATAATATCTTATTGGACTAGAGTATGGCGCATTTTTAAGTGTTAATGCATTGTTTTTGAAGGATCATAAAGATTATAGTTTTATACATTTGATACCTGTTTTTATCCTTTTTTCTGCTTCACATAGGATGTAGCATATGGAACTTTTTTTTGAATTAGAAATTTTATATTGCTACAGAGCTAATATACTCCTTAAGTTCATGTACTTGTTTGCTAGAGAAAAGAAAGATTGGAAATGTTTAAATTTTCTTTATACATGGTTTTTACTTTCTAGTATTATTGAATATTTATTTATTTATTTATTATTATTATTTATTTTATTTTTTTGGAGGGGGGCAAATTATTATATTAACATTGCCTTAATATGTTAGCCAAGCTGGCTTATTATGTTTAATGAAAGAACATGTATTTTATGGCATGTATTTCAAATAAAGGACATGTTTAACCAATGTGTTTTTTAATCCATTAAAATTGAAGTTTTTTTCTTTTCTCTTATATTCCATGTATGAAAGATCAAGCCTCAAGCTGAATACTACTTTCTGAAAAGAATTCTGAAGAGGTTTAATGATTAGGAGAAAATTTTGTGGTAACACTATTCTCTCTCTCTCTCTCTCTCTCTCTCTCTCTCTCTCTCTCTCTCTCTCTCTCTCTCTCTCTCTCTCTCTCTCTCTCTCTCTCTCTCTCTCTCTCTCTCTCTCTCTCGCTCTCTCTCTCCTCTCTCTCTCGCTCTCTCTCTCTCTCTCTCGCTCTCTCTCTCGCTCTCTCTCTCGCTCTCTCTCGCTCTCTCTCTCTCTCTCTCTCTCTCTCTCTCTCTCTCTCTCTCTCTCTCTCTCTCTCTCTCTCTCTCTCTCTCTCTCTCTCTCTCTCTCTCTCTCTCTCTCTCTCTCTCTCTCTCTCACACATCTGTTATGAGAACTCACACATAGATCATTATTATTTTTACTGAAAGATTTTGAATATCATAATTGTAAGTACTATCAATATTATCATGTGAACTGTATAAATTCAAATGTCATTATCAATGCTATAATTATGATAATCTATCTCATGATTCTGTGTGTGCTTTGTCTATCAACCATTCGCTACTTTAGCATATTACTGTTGAATTTTATGCCTAATATTATATTCCTTGTGGCTTCATTATGATTTAGAATGGAGTGATAATTGACTACATAGATGTTAAAGAAATACACCACACTCACACATGCATAATGGCATCATATTATGAATCTATTAAAATCCTAGTCAGACTCCAATATTATCTTCGTCATTACCATTATTGTTATCATTATCATCACTATTTTTATCCTCATTATCATTGTTATTGCCTTTACCATATGGAAAAAGGCTGAAATACACACTAATGTGGATATTCTCATTTGTATAGGAAAAATCTACTTTTTTTCTAATTCTAAGAATCCCGTACAAATGCCAAATTTCAAATCTACTCTCTTCCCCAAATTCCCATATTGTCCCCACTCCTATAAACCACCTATTTCTCTCCCATATTTTCCACTCTCTTACCATTATCATCATCATCATCAGATGCTTGAGTTAGAGATCCAGAAATCACACTCATTAACTTCCTTTACAGTCCCTAGGGAGGAATTCTTTTTCTTTTTATGTCTTGTTTATAGTGCGTATGTTTCAGATTTTGTTATTGTTATTATTATTATTGTTGTTGTTGAAAATATGGGTTTAAAATGTATTTTTTTTATATGTTTAGTTCTTTCAATTTTTTTATTTTCTATTTTGATTTTATAGATTTTGTTTGTGCTTGAGCGTCATTATCTTATATACCATTAGTGTAGTTTAAATTACTTTTATAATTTTTGTATTTTTTTATGTTCCCTAGTTTAACTAAGGATTAATAACTTCTTTTTGGACCAAACTAAGGTGTATTTTCTAATTTTATAGCATTGCATTTGAAAGAAGTATTACCTGTTTTGTTATTACTGTAAAGTTTTGTATTATTACTACCATTACCATCTTGAATTATCATATATTTTCAAAGTTCCACATTTCTTTCATTCATTCTTTCTTCCCCAGGGCATCAAGTCCATGCAGAGAAAGGTCGAAGAGATCCACCAAGATCTCAGACAATGAGCACAAGCAAGGGGTCCTTCAGATATACGACAATGTGCGATAAACATGGAGATTTTAGGCCACTTAGGAAAGGTTGAGGTCATTTTTTTTTCTTGTTTTTTGTCTTATTTACAGTTATTATGTTCAGATTTTATTGTTATTAGGATTGTTATTGTTGAAATTATGGGTTTAAAATGTATTTTTTTTTTTATATTTAGGGGTCTTTTAATTATTTCTTATTTTTTATTTTAATTTTATAGTTTTTTTTTGTGCTTGAGTGTCATTGTCTTATATACTGTTTGTGCAGTTTTGATTACTGTTATAGTTTATGTATTTTTTATGGGCACTAGTTTAACTAACAGTTAATATCTTCTTTTTTGACCAAACTAAGGTGTATTTTCTCATTTCTTGGCATTGCATTTGAAAGATCACAAAGGATTATGGTTTCAGATATTTTTTTCATTCGACACCTAT